TTTCTGCTTTCTCTATTCTTTTCATCCTTCTAATTCCGAATTTATCAACAATCTTTAAGGTTTTAATTGCTGTAATGGAGGTTGAAAAGAACATGACGTCTTTCCTCAATCCTAATGTTCAACTTGATCATTTTGATAGTACCAACTTCACCCGTTGGAAGGAAAAGTTGTTCTTCCTTCTCACCGTGCTTAAGATCGCCTATGTGCTTGATCCAAAATTGGAGCCACTTTCTGAACCAAAGGAGGATGATTCCGAAGAATTGAAGACAGCAAGGAAGAAGCATGGAGATGATGAAATCATGTGCCGGGGTCATATTCTCAACACTCTCTCCGATAGGCTCTACAATATTTACAACTCGATGGAGTCTCCGGTGAAGATTTGGAACGCTCTCGAATATAAATACAAAACTGAGAAGGAAGGTACGGATAAATTTCTCATCTTGAAATTTTTAGAATTTGTCATGATTGATACCAAGTCCGTTCTAGATCAAATACATGAATTGCAAGTCATTGTTACTAGGATACTAAAATAATTTTATTTTAATTTAAAATGTGGGCAACGAGAATTTAGGGTCTTGGTTTCTGAGCCGTCAAATTAAGAAGACTGGGACCCATGGGAAGGAGGTGTTTGTGAAGTTGGCATTACAGGCAACCCAACTTCAAAGTCAAGATTTTGATTTATCTATATTCTGATATCAAGCTGATCTACAACAAAAAAAAAATGATATGCAAATTTTATTTCTTTTAGACATAACCAAGATTTTGGTTTATCAATATTCTGATCTACAATAAAATAAAATAAAAACTGATATGCAATTTTCTTTTTTGAGACTTAGTCAAGATTTTGGTTTATCTATATTCTGATATCTAGCTGATCTACAATAAAAAAAAACTGATATGCAATATTTTTTTTAAGACAGTCAAGATTTTGGTTTATCTATATTCTGTATCAAGCTGATATACAATATTCTAGCAAAAAAAAAAAAATGATATGCAATATTCTTTTTGAGACAAGCAGTAAAATAATATTAGGCATCTGTAATGTTCGACACTACAGCATTAATATAAATATACATTGACTCTTAAAATTTACCTCTTTTATTAGCATTATACATTTCTTTTGTTATATTTTGTTATATTAGGCATATTTATTTCTATTAGGTAGAAAGGAAGGTCTTGCATATATTTCGGACAGAGAAAGCAAATTACATGAGAAAAAGTCCCCAGTTCTCCTCGATGTATGTTTAACAATCTTGTTAAGTGTTGGAGGGTAATTCTATACCGCTGAGAGTAATAAAATCATAAAATAAAAGCATACAAGAATACGTTAAAACACACAATATTTATGATAGTTTACCTTCAATATAAGAAGTACATCCATTTTCAACTTTTGCAGGACGAAAAAAAATTTTACAAAAAAAAAAAAAAAAAATCACACAACTCTCTGTCTTGTTTTGTTACCTCTTATATTAATTCCAAAACTGACGCCCATTTTATATAAAAATAAATAAGGCCGATTCACGTATTAACTATGTGTAAAGTAATAATCATCAGAGTAATAATTTTAAAACTTAACAAATCTCTTTTGTTTGGTTTCGAGGTTATATGAAGCTTTGGTACAAATTGGTTAGCAAAAAAGTAATGCTTGATGTGGTATGGAATCATCGGCATAGACTTCATTTTTTTAGTGTACTTTTTTTTAAAATATTTTAATAGAAGCATAAATTGAATGCAGTATTGAAAAGCCATAAAACGTTAATTTAAACTAGACACCTTCATGTTCATTAAACATGAATCTATCCCTTAATAGCGTATTGTTCATACGTAAAGCAATAATCGTTAGGATAGTAAACTCCACAACTAATAAATTTATTTTATTTGATTTTCTGAAGCTTTTGCTATTAAAAGTATCAAATTGGTTAGCATGGAGTCATCGGCATAGGCTGCGCTTTTTTTTTTGGGTGTATTTTTGTTTTTTTTTTAAATAGAAGCATATATAGAATGCATTATTGGCAAGCTCTAAAACGTTCATTGAATCTAGACACCTTTATATTCATCCAACGTGGACACAGGACACGTATTTTCTCCCTACCAGGCATCATCTTCAAGTTTTTACTCTTTCGTTTCTATTTGACTCTTTTTCTCTCTTTCGATTACAGAAGAAAAATGTAACCTTAGAATTTATACCCCATAATGAAAAATCCAAAAATAAATAATAAAAGAATAAAAAAGAAAAACATAAAAACAGTAGATTTTGGCTAATCATAAAAAAATGCAATTTTTTTTTTTGTTAATATAGAAAAGGTAATTTGCTCTGATTGGTTTAAAAAAGGCATCACGCCATTATAACCTGCTTGCTTCTGACTTTACTTGAACTTCAATCATCAGATGAAGTGGCTTCCCTCTGAGGAAAAAAAAGTTTTATTTATTTAAAGAAGCAAAAAAGCAGTTTGGTAAAGAAAAAAGATCGATTCTACAACGTAAAGTATTTGTTATTTACCAAAAAAAAAAAAAAAGTATTTGTTATTTACTATTTGTTTGATAAATAAATTCTTCTAATATTCACGAATATTTGGTAAATGCGTAAATGAGGGGGAGCGAGTGGAAATGTTTTGTATAAATTAGTAAAAGGATTGAACCATATTAATCCAGCTAGTACTACTTTTTCATCCTTAAGAAAATCCATGTGTTAAAAACCACATTAATTGGTCAGCTTCGTCTTTACCATTTTAAAACTGTTTCCCGATTAACATGTGATCAGAGCAATCAAAGTAAAAATAAAAATAAAAAGTAAGCAAATACATGCATCTTTTTCCCCTTACACGTGAATTTCATAACTAAAAGCAAAAAGCGAATTTGATCCATTACTCCCTCTCGTGGAAGGGGAAAAAAAAAAAAAAAAAGGTTCGGAATCATGATAAAAAAAGCTTCCTTTCAGGAAATCATGTTATTATTTAAAAAAAAAAAAAAAAAAACCCTTCATGTTCTAGCAAATGTGATTTTGGTTAAGCATATTCTTTGATACCACATCCTAGTACCAACAATCTAAAAATTAAAGATGCCTAATTGATAAGGACGGTGGTGTGAGTTTAAAAGAGAAATTTCAAACTCGAATATTAGGTGAAGTTTATATATAAAAAAAAATTCTAAAGTCAAAGATAATTTCTATATTAGTATATAGAAATTGTTATCAGCCAAAAAAAATTTAGAGCACGTTTAGTTCGTTCATTTGAGTTTTTAATTCGAGTTGGGATGTGACTTTATGTGAGAGTTTTTTATTTCAGTAAAAAAGTTAGATGTGACTGTTTCTGAGAACTTTTTACTATAACAAGACTTGAATTCTAAACTCAAATCAGTGAAATGAACGGATTTTTTTTCTCTACAGCTAGTTTGGAATAACTTGATCGTGTCCGTGGGTTGTATATTCCATTTTTGTCTCCGAGCATATTCTTTTGCACCATGATGTATCAATTCCCAATCATATATATCTTGCATTTCTAGTTTAGGCTAAACAAATGTTTAGCATACCCAAAAAAAAAAAAAAAATGTTGCAACGTTTGATTAACAAAGTCCCAGAATTGGCCAAGAAAGATAGATCTTAGTCATTCTAAATAAATCACAATATGTTTAGGCTTCAGACAAGATAGAATTTAGGGATTCTATGCCCATCTTTTTATGTGTCCCTTTTCGACACCAACACAGGTAAACTTTTGACCTGGTTCCCTTTACTCGGTCAAGAGACCCAAGACTATCATGATTCAGGTCACTGATGAATTTTCTTTTCAAAAAACATTTTTTACAATGAAAAAAAAAACTATCGATAGGCAAAGTTTTAAGCCGTGAGATTTTATTAAGACCTTATTAGCACTTTTTTTTTGCACTTCTTCCTACGATTTTTTTGAAAAATAAAATAAAAAAAAATTAAATATGATGTGAACTTCTTATCTCCACCTATAATTTTCTTATCGAAACTTCATGATTACTAAGACAGACTTCAGTTCAACATTGATGCAACTTTTATTAGCACATTTATATGGTTCTTTGGTTTAGATCATTACATGAAACAGATAGGCCTACAGCAAGATTTTTGTCCCAGAAAACGAAAGAAATTACCGCAGAATTTTCTGGCAGTGACGATTATTAACACGTGAAAAAGCTAGACAGCGTCATTTTCAGTGGGCACCCAGCAGGAGCAGCAAAAGGTATCGAAAACCTCATGCTAGGGATGTACCATTGAAAAAGTTCCCATATTATCCATTACATGATGAACCATAAGAAACAAAGGTTAGTGGGGTTGATTCTTGAACTGATGTGATGAAGAACCTAAGGATCACCATCCACCAAGCGAGTGCGTACCAACAAGAGCCTAAAAGATTTTGCCGGACTAATAGTAATAGATTGTGCAGCGTTGATTTGATAGCGGTGACTTATTCTTCAACTAAAATTTGATAAGGTCTACTATGTTCACTGGTGGGGGCTCGGAATTTCTCAATAACGAAAAAGATATGGAACCCGGATGGAACTTAAATCTCTCTTCTTATCCCTCTTTATGAAAAAAATAGAGTAACACTTGAACTAGCTGATGTTTGTCAACATCATATCAGTTTTCCAAATTAATTTTACCCGCAGCTCCAACGCTTTTTCCTGAAGTCCCCACCATAAAGGGCTTTTTTTTTTTTTTTTTTCGGCTAAAGCCAGAAAGGGCACTTTGTTTAGAAATTAGAAGCATTCTTGCAAGATTAGTGCAAGGATGAGCACCAAGATCTAAGAAGATTATATATCAAAGAAAGCCGGTTGTCCGCGACACTTGTCCTGGAAGAGACCGAGGCCCAAACTTGGATATTTTAAGAAATTAACCTTGGAAAGTACTAAATGAATTAAAAATCAAGCCTCAAACTACAAAACAAATAAATATATATACATACATATCAGAAGACAGCATTTCTAAACCTCATTTCACATTAATGTACTATCTGAAACAAACGCGGACTATCCTCCCATGACACTAATACAAGTTACAACTATTTCTTGATACTTGCATCACAATCCACAGAAAGTACGAGTTGATGCTATTCCTCGACTTACATAAGATTATATTACACACACTTTGACCAATTAATTAAGAAAAAAGAAAAGAAAAGTAAATTAACATACAACAACACACTGGCAAGATTCTAAGTAGTCCAGTATTAGAATACCAAACCAATTCAACAAGCAGACATTTATACGCATAAACTAAATCCTACTAAAAATATTTACTCCATTAGTTCTGCATCTGCCATCTCTTCATCATCCGTATCACCTTCACCTTCCAAAAGCCACTGTTCAAGCTCGTCGACTTCATCAAAGTCATGCATGTACAGACCGTCGGAGCTATCCCATTGCTCGGCTCCTAGCTCCTCACCATGGCATGCCACATTCAAGAATGGTCTATTCCGAGCCAAGGCGTCTACCATGTCCCTGTTTACACTACCCGTCACTCCCAGCCATCTCAGCCTTGGAAAGTACGGTTTCTTCAACCAGCGGAACGAAAGTTGAGTGATACCGCCGCAGTTAAAGAGATCTAAAAGACGTAAACCATTGCCGTGCCACCTCTCTTCATCAACCTGCATCGAGGCCAATGCCATGACTGCAGTGTCACCAATGAGTGGGCACTGTCGCACCCGCAATTCAACAATTGGAATTCTGCCTTTTGCCAGTGACAGGACAGCATTATCGGAGAGATTGGGGAGATTTGACAGGTCCAACTCCCGCAACTCCGTTATAGAACAACCCTCAAAAAGAGCAGAGATGCCTTTATCTGTAAGTTTTTTGCACCCTCTAACAGATAATGTAACTAGCGACTGTATGACCCTTGACCTCAAGAATGACAATCCCACATCACTTATATCAGAGCCATCCAATAGTAAAACCTTCAATCTCGTGAGAGTCCTTATGGCTCGAAGCGCTTCATCCCCAAGGTTTCTGCAGCATCTCAAATCCAACACTTTTAGGTCCTTATTAGACGCCAAATTGGCAACTGCTTGGTTAGTTAAAAGGCTACACCATCTCAAGCTAACATGTAGTAAAGAAAGGGAAGTAGCAGAGACATCATGGAAAACTAAATCAGTTAACTGAGTCCCATGAGACACCTTGAGCTTGAACAACTTGGAGCATGCATGAAATATTGTTTTGAAACCAGTGTCTGTAACACGGCAAAAGCCTCCAAGGCATATGCTTTCCATGTTTGCGCAGTTATCAGCCATAAAGAGGAGTCCGAGATCATTGACTCTTCTGAAATAGGTGGGAAGAAACTCCTGACTCCGGATCAATGAGAGATGTTTCAATCTCCCATGCTGATTAATTTGTTGAAGACCGTTGTTTGTGAGATCAAGTGTAATGCTTGGTTCAATGAGGGGTGCATCCCTAAGGTCCAAATGGGTTAAGGAGATGAGACCTTTAGAAATAGTAGTGACCATGGTGTCGGTTATATAGTCGACTGAAAGGCATAATTTCTGAATGCTAGGCAATATGGATGGTCGAATATGATTAGGCAACTGATGAAATCCCAAATTTGGACTAAGCAGTTCAGTCACCATTACAGACGAAATGTAGCCAATCTCAAGAGAAGTGAGTTTTTCTGATGCCAAAGTCCACACTCGAGCAAAATTATGACGAAGAAATAACGAGACATCAAACATCAAGACAAGTGCCTTCCAAAATAGCAACAATACATGTCAGAAAATAGACAACGAGTAAAGATACAACTGCTACATTAAATGCCTATATCACCAAAAGTGAAAACCCATCTTAATTGTTCATTCTAAGATGAGAAAGAGATTTTAATAAAATTTCATTTTGACATGGCTAATAGAGTAATAGGATTACTACCCTACATCAGGGAAATTACAAGCCTACTAATGGCACATGTAGAATGAAAGAGTGGTGTAATAAAAAACAAAAACAAAAACAAAAAGGGCATAACATAAGACATCCTACATTAATAGTTGGGCAGATTGGATTTCCAGATTAGGTACATTTCAAATTTCACTATCCACATCAATTTCATCATATAAGCCAATTTCTTCATATGTTAAATCCTTTAATGCCAAAACACTTGAGTTAACACCTCCAAGACCAACCGACTTTATCTCATGTTACATTTGAACAAGCATTTTCCTACACAAGCTTTCTAATACCAGTTGATTTTTCAATTCCTTACTTCTAACTGAGTGCAACCACTGAGCAACTCCTCCAAATCAGAAATATGAACAGCCCGCCCTCGCTTTTCGGCCACAGACCCCAAGCAGAGAGACCTGGGGGAGCGAAATACATACATACCCGTTAACGAAATCCAAACAACAATATCCCACAAAAAATCCAAATAATAATTACCAGTAACATTTTGGAATAAAAAACTAAAACCTCCTCTTTATTCTATCAAATTGTTGCGTTCAACCTTATGTTTTTCGGAAATGCTGCATCTACTATCTAAAAATAGCTAATCAAAAAGTAAGTTTTTAACACGATTTGTTACCTCATAGAGGAGAGATTTTTAACACATTTCTAAAATGCAAGGAATATGTTTAACTTTCCTAAAGTAAAACACAAAAAAAAATAAAATAAAATAAAAAATACGAGGGAGTACTTTTGTTATTATCCCAGTAATTAATTCAACCATAACTAAAGCTTAGAAGACAAACTCAGAACCAAAATGTTAATCATCAGCCATACGGACATGCACAAGCATGTAAAGAGCAAACCTTAGGTCCTTGCACAGGCCACCGATCTCAGAAAGCAATTTCCCGCTAAAATCCGCGCAATTAAGCAGGCAAAGCTCGTGCAAAGAAGGCCGTACCAAAATCTGGATGGCCGAATCATCGAGCCGACCACAGTCAACTTTTAAGCTCCGCAGGAACGGGTTTGGTGGCAACAATGGCCGCAGCGAATCCATCGAAGGTGCGATTTCCTGAAACAGCAATCATCCATCGAAGTTTGAAAATCAAACAGACAAAGATCGTGCATTTATGCGTAATTTTGAGATTCGGTGAGAGAAGAGAGAGACGCACTGGGAGGTGAAAAGTGGGGAGGAAAGAGAGGATCTGAGAAGCGCAGGATCGGAAGGTCTTGCAAGTGGAGGCGCAGGAGCAGATGGACGGCACGTCGAGCTTCGTGAAGATGGTCGCAAGTAGAGCCGAGGGCAGCAGATCCAGGCCCTCAAATCCGCCATTGCTTTCGGTCTCCGTCGTCTCCATTTTCGGTTTTCCTTTATCTTATTTTTTCTAGCTGGAGAATTGTAATAGTGGTGGTGAAATTGGATCTTGAGGAAGAGATTGATTGGGTTTGACCATGGCTGCCAACGAACGCCTTATCCAGGCAGTTTCCTTTCACTTCTTCCTGCATAAAAATGGCAATTATAGTTTTGTTTTTGTTTGTTGTTTGTACTTGTGGCTCCGGACGGCGAAGAAGACGATGGTGGAATGGGCAATTGTAACTGGGCCTAGATGTGAACAAGACAGCCCAATGGGCTCAATTTTTTGTCCTTTTCACAAACTTTCATATATTTTTTAAACTAAATTAAATAAATAATAGATTTTAAATCTATTTAGAACAAATAGTAATTTATATGGTAAATAAATCAATAAATATAAAAGTTTTATTTACAACTAATAAAAAATAACTTATGTGATAAATCTTTTTTTAAAATCTATATTTACAAGGAAAATTTTCTTTTTACAAGCCGTGAAGAGAAAATTAAAGTGAAAAAATATTTTTAATAGCAGTAAATGAACTATTTACATGATAAATGTGGTAAATAAATTATTTATAACGTAAACTGTTATTTATTTTAAATAATTTTAAAATCTGTTATTTACTTAATTTAGTTTTAAAAATCTTCTATATACTACATTCTCCTTTCATTTTTTTCTAATGATTTGGAATTGAAATATAATTGCTTTTTTTTTTTCAAAAAAAAGAAGCCTAATTTTCATAGGAATAATGAACTAGACTTTAAAAATGGTATACAACCTTACACTTTTCTCAAAGATTTGATGGGCCATTTGAGTAACATATATGTCCATTTTATAATTGATGAAAAAAGAAATGTCTACAACTTGTTTTATTTGCATACAAGTCTGTAAAACAATCAGTATTGATATTTTTATCCCTAGTAAATTAACTTTTAAAATCAATTATATAAATTCACAACCACCTAGATTAAAAAGGATATATTTGGAATTATATTGTATCAATAATCATAAAATGAACAGATTGATAATATTGTTGAATTAAAAACATATCTTAAACATGGATTGTAAAAATAATCATTTTGTATACTTCCTATGGGAATATGACCATCAGAAAGTTAGAATTCAAATAAATTAAATTTTCACATGATATTGGGACCTCCAAAATCAAGGCCTTTAATATTAGAAAGTGAACAAGCTTTGTAGACTGCATGAATGAGCCGAAACATAGATACCACTATTAAAAAATACATATACTAATACATCTCAAATTTATTAAGAAACTACTTGGTGGACCCATTGTCTCTCTTCTAGATCAAGCGCAAAATAACATAAACTTAGCCTGTCTAGCCAACTTTTATGACTCTTTATTCTAAGCATCCACTGCACTCCTGCTTAGCAGTTCGTGAAAAGCGTGTCAACGACATATTCCATTATGGCCATCTTTGTCGCCTGATGCAAAGTTCTCAAGGTGGCAAGAGTTTTACAAGAATACAATGACCAACTGGTAAAAGTTAAAGCAAAAATTGATGTCGTTAAACAGCTGCAACTACAAAGTCAAGACGCATGGAAATTTTACTTTTCAGCTACCTTAAACCGTCCATATTTATAAAAAGGAGGAAAAGACCTCAGCGAAAAAGAACGAAGAAAAGTATGAATGTATGATAATTCATGTATTCATGTTCTAACAGCGTTTAGTGCTATACTACTATGTGGTTCTCTCAATTCAATTCAATACCCGTAACAAGAGTTACACAATTGGGGAAACACAAATCTCTCATCCTGGTATCTTTGACGGAGAAGAACATAAAATGACTAGTGAAATCCACACACTTTGCTAAACTTTTTAAGGCTTGATTCGCCAAGGAAAAAAGTCCAATTATGAACTTGAATTGCCAATGCTAAATCCTCTATCAACGGCGTAATCAACGAAGCTATAAAGTGGTACGGCAGAGTCACCATATTTCTTCTCAAACCCATCCAATTCTTGCTTGGCTTTTGCTCTAAGCTCCTCTGCAACTTCCATTGCCTTCTCAACCCCATAAACTTCTACATAGCTCTTACCCTTCTTCTTCCTCTCAGCACTATCTGTTTCATGACCCTTCTTTGATTTCTCTTCCAGAATATCATCAACCACCTGGTACAAAACCCCCACAGCTCTACCGTACCTCCTCAGCCTCTGTATCTCCTCATCGTTGGCGCCTGCCAGGAGCCCTCCGCACACTGCGGAGCACTCACCCATCTCGCCAAACTTCTTCTCCTGCACGAATTCGATGGAATTGGGTCCCCCCTCCAGGTCGACAAACTGCCCTGCAGCCATCCCAGTGGACCCAACTGCACGGGCAATCTCGGCAATCACGCGGAGGACACGGGGCTCTGGCACCAGGTCGGACGGCGTGTGTGAGACAATGTGGCGAAATCCCAATGGGAAGAGTGCATCGCCCGCGAGGATCGCCAGGTCAACGCCGTAGATTGTGTGGTTGGAGGGCTTGCCTCGACGTGAAGTGTCGTCGTCCATGCAGGGAAGGTCGTCATGGATTAATGAAGCAGCGTGTACCTGTCAAAAAAAAAGAATTGAAACAATGAACAACTTTATATTTAATTGACTTCCCAAATTGTAGTAATGCTATTTCTTTTTCATATTATAGTCTTCAGTAAAAAATGTTAGATTAATTGACGTCCCAAATTGCAAGATTCTGATGCTCATCTAAATGACGACAGATTTTCAGTCAAAAATAGGTAACGACTTCCCGTTATAGGAAACCAGTGGCATTAAAGATAACCAATGAAAGAACAAATCGGGAAAAACAATAAATAAAGAAGAAATCTTTGACAAACCAATACTTCTCCTGATTGTACAATTTCCAACCAAACATTGCGATTATCAAGTTTTAGAAGAATATGCAAGATATAGATAAAGGATGAACGAGCCAAAAAATAAAATAAAATAATTGGAGAAAAAAAGGCAAAGCCGTGAGCATCTAAGGAAACCTTCTTAATTCTTATCTTCAAGCCTCAATTCAACTATATTTATTAATTTTTTTTTTTTTTTTGTAAAAAAAAAAGGAAATGGCGAAAGGAGTACTTCTCTTATTCTCCTCCTCATTCTCTTAATAATACAATTTCTAAGCAAAATTTTGCAACAATTTAGTCCAGAAACGAGTGATAAGCAACTAAAGAGCACGATTTTTTAATCTGAGAAAAAGAAAATTTGGGGCAGAACCATTTCTAGGGCACAGGCGGTGGGGAAAGCAGCGAGGCGGTCGCCGCCGAGGAGTTCGCAGGCGGCGACGCACATGACCGGCGGGGCCCGCTTGGCGCCCTCGGCGAGGGCCGAGTACCGCATCGCGTGGTAGATATGCTCCGGGTACTTGACCGGAATCGCCTCATCGAGCTTCTGATCGATCTCCGTTATCAGCGTCGTCCAATACTTCTTCAGGTCGAATTGCAGCGACCTCGATCGGCTCGAAACCGACGCCGACGAGCACCGAACTGGGATAAAGCTACGAGGCTTCATCGGGAGACAGAGATGCGAAGAAGACGATAATACCGAAAATGCCATTTTTTCACGAGATCCTCTGGGGATAAATTTTCTCGCTGAATTTGGGAAGTTTGTAAGGTGGCGAAGAAAAAGATGAGATTTTGAAGAAAGGGGCAAAAAAAAAAGGTGTTTTGTTTGTTTGTTGTATTGGTTTGTTTGATAGGGTGCTGACTACACTTGAGGGTCAACCTGATTAACCTCATTTTTTTTTCTTTTGTTTGGCCATTAATCGTTGTCACTGCCCACTAATCTTGAATTAAATTGGTTTACACATTTTGCATTTTGGTCTCTATAATGTTTGATTCACACTTCAGACTTCAGAGTATTAATGGCAGCCAAGAATTAGACTTGAGAATCGAGGTTCACGTGCATAGGGGAAGACTTCTGCTTGAATGGATGATATTCGTCAATGTTCATTGTATTTAGGGCTTTCATTTTATCTTATTTTATTTTTGCGCTGGTTAAATAATTTGTGTTTAATATGAGCACCTTTATTCATTTTCTTCACCAACAGACCACCACCACAACATAGTTGATGTAAAATTGAAAATATTAATATAAGAACTAGGGAGGTTTGGAAAAAATAAACTGCTAAAGTTATTTTTCAGCTTTTAAATCTATGTTAAAATTATCTATTTTGCATATTTTTTTAATTTAATGTGATTTTAATTAAATTCAACGGCTAAAAACTGACCTTATCAATAGGCTAGCCTACTGATTAAAGTCCCTAAGAATCATCATCTGCTCCAAATCCAAATTATGTTTGTAATAACTTTTTTTAAAAAAGTTTTTTAACAAAAAAAAAAATTTATTCAGGTACTTTACACATTTGTTCTTGAACTTATATGGTTTTAACAATTTACCTTTTGAACTTCTGATTTTGACAAGTTGTCATCTCAACTTGTAAAATTGCTACAATGTCTTATTATGACGATGATTATATTAAATCAGTGTCGAAAAAACACGTTCGATGAAAAATTTTAATATCTCATTTTAAATGTAACACAAATTTTTTAATTCCTCAATTTTTAATCGCTTAAATCAAATATTAAATTTTGAACAAATTTAGTAAAAAGAATAGCAACAAGTTAATTTTCAAAAGAGTAATATTAGAGATACTAACTCAAATTTTAATTTTTATGTATTAACTAATGTAGTACATAAGTTATCATCTAATGCAATATCTTTTATTAATTGGTTGATACATAAGATAATGCAATCTCTTTTATTAATTGATCGATAAATTTAAGTTAATATTCCTAATATTATTCGAGTTAATATTCCTAACATTATTCTTTTCAAAATGAACAAAATGAAGATAATTTGCAAAATCATGAAAAAAAATTATTTTGAAACTTTGAAAAATCCTCAATTTTAACCTTTTAAATGAAATAAAATAAATATATTCGAACAAATTTATTAATATGAATTGCAACAAGTTAATTTTCAAAATTTTCAGCCAAAACATATTATCTACAGACAACCGCTCAACAAATAAACTGCATAACATTCTCGTTATGCTAATTTTTATTGTTGAAACAACTATTTCCAACATAAAAGAGGAAAATTTTAAACTAGGAATTGTGGGGCTTTACCCCTTGGGGAGCCCTTCCAGAAATTCTCAAAGGCCAGGGTCAAGCCCAGGCCCAAGAGGGGGTTTGGAAATAGTTTTCAACCAGCAATAGACGCGCCTCGGTTAGAACCTCACTAGCTGCGTCATTGCCCCAAGCGCAAAGATGCTTTGACATTTGTATCAGCAACCTTTTTATAATATGCATTATAGGCTCTGTTCTTTGTACGCTATCGATGTGGGACTTTCAACGTGTCATTTGCTAATTGCTGGCTCGTTTTTTATGATTTTATTTATTAGATTAGAAGACAAGCCGACAAGGTTCTCACTTGGAGGTAACGTTAGAAAGTAGAAACCTCATCCGCTCAAACATGGTACAAATCAAGTAAATTAATAAGTGCCCAAGTCTAAAGAAAGACACGTTTCATTTGTTAATTTGAGTTTTTAATTTAAGTTAATATGTAATTTTATGTGAGAATTTTTTTATTATAATAAAAAATTAGATGTGACTGTTTCTAAGAGTTTTAAATTCTAAACTTAAATCGGTAAAATGAAAATAATCAAAATATATGTGCCGGTGTTGGTTTACCCACCCTGGCCGTCCATTGTCCACAGAGAGACATTCAACAAATTTTCCTGCTCACGCACTTAGAAAAAAGAAGTATGGATTTGCAACCTTGACATCAGTACTCTCTACTACTTCAGAGACATTTTGAAAAAAAGAAAAAAGAAAAAAAGGATTTACTAGTTGACCCACAAATATGTTTTATGACGTTCTTTTAATTAAAGTTTATGATACAAACTGTTAAAATTGGACATATGAAAAAGTCCTTAATTATTTTCGCTGCTCAAGAGTAATGATCGTGCTTAAAAGTGATCTACCTAATTTAGTCCACAGAGAAAAAAAAAAGACAAACCTTAGACCCTATTCTATTTTTTTTTCAAATGAAAAGTGTTTTTTTTTTTTTTTTTTTTTTTTTTTTTTTTTTTTTTTTTTTTAAAGAAAACATACTTTTAGTAATCTTATTTTTGTTTTCTATTTTATAAATTGGTCTTAACTTTTTTGTTTAAAATGGAGTAAAATTTGTTTTCAAAATATTTTTCTTAGAACTACAAATTTATTTTTCTCGAAGTAGAGACTAGGATTAAGGTGTGGTAGCATTGAAGTCAGGGTTGGATTCAGGTTGGGGTCATGCCGGACGTCGGCCTGGGATTAAGGGAGGGGCGTGGAAAAGGTTAGTGTTAGGAAGACGTTGGAGCCTCAGTCGAAATTGATCTCAATTCAAACCTCGGTTCCAACGACCCAACCTTAACCTCCGATGTTGACACTAACCTTGACCTCCGATTTTACAAGAAACTATTTTCGCATATTTATTTTTATTTCATAGACTAAATTTGGTACTATTTTTAGCATAACGACTTTCCAAGAGAATAAAATTAAGGGACTTTTATGATAAGGTAGTACACGACTCTAAATGTTAAATTGAGTCAAAATCATTTCAAAATAAGGAAAAAAAAATACAAATATCAGGTATGGTGATTCAAAATAAGAGTTTCATTTTTAAAAGATATTTTTTACGGGATTCTTTATAATGGAATAAATTATTTTACTCCATTAGTAGGGATTATATCTTTATTATTAGATTAATTTTTTAATAATGAGATATACAATATGAACGGTTTTATGTGGTGTGCTATAATTTTTTTATACAAATTTATACAATAACTTACTCCACCTTAAGTTATTCTTTTTATTAACAGCATGCCGCCAATTCTCAAAATTTTAGACCTCAATATTCAATTGATCCCTGTCACATCCACTCGACTATAAGAACTACAAAATAAGAAAATCATGTTGGTGTAACATGAACCCCGACAACATCTCACCTAATGGGCTATCAACCACGTGGATTGATAGACATGAAAGTCCTACGTACAAAGTACATGTAAACATAAAGGGTTTGTTTAGAATTTAAAATGATTATTTTTTTATATGAAATTAAAAATGAAAATTTCATATAGAAATTATTTTTAAAAATGTGTTTGGTAGTTTTATTGAGAGATTATTTTCAGTATAAAAAAATTAAAACTCCATTTAGTTATACATTTTTAAAAAATCTAATAGTATTTTAAAGAATATATTAAATAGTTAATAAAATCTCAAATCAGTTATAATAGTAACTAAGATCTTATTTACTATACTTTCTTATAACAAATACAATTGAGAGGGCATTTTAATAATTTTACATAATAATTCTAAATCTGATTTTAAGACCCAACCATCCCATTACGTTCAGATCATGACCCACCCCTATCGATGGGTGGCTGGGGGTCTACACAGGTGACTCTGGATTGGACTATCACGATTCCGGTCGCGAAGGAGGCGGTCAAGCATTGAAAACTGCAGATCGGAGGAAGATCAGAGGAGGCGGTCAAGATCGGAGGAAGCTCGTCGAAAGATAAGAAGAAGATTGCGCATAAGTGGAGGAGGAAATCGTGCGGTGAAGGAGGAAATCATGGGCGGAGATGGGTTCCGAGCTTTTTGTCGTCGTCGTGGGTCAGTCGGAGGTTCTCGTCGCCGTTGGTGGTTCTCATTGTCGTCGGTGGGCTCTTGAGCTTTTCGTCCTCATGGGTCAGAAGGAATTCACCGCCCCAAGGACGGGAACTGTAGGACGACGGCGAGGTTGTAGTCGGTGGATCCCTAAGGCATTAGCCCGGTGAAGACGATTTCATCAGGATTGTTAGCTCCATTAATTAGAGAAGTAGAGTACAAAGAGGACCAACATTCTCAGAGGAGTAAGGGAGGAGAAAATGAAAATGCAAAAATGAAAAAAAAAAAAAGTTTTCAGTTTCTTCCTCATATTACACTAAATCAAAAATCGATTTCATTTTCGTTTCATGTCCTTCATTTAGGCCAAACAATGTTTCTGTTCTCGATTTCATTTTTTTTCTTGAAAAACGTGAAAAACGTTTTCAAAATTGATACCAAACGAGTACAAATGTAATCTCTTTCACTAGTCAACGTACATGTACAAAGTTCTTTTGCTCAAAGTACAAAGTAAATCCTTTTGTATGACATTGTTTTGATCAATTCTCTTTAACCAGTCAATGTCGTACGTACAAATACATGTAGAAAGCTCTTTTGCTGAGAGCTTGTTTAATATAAGAATTAATTTTAAAAATTTTCCATCAACTATGACTCTTGTAATACTTTGTTTCTTAAATTTTAAAAAGTAATATCCGTTTCTCCTGAACTTTATTTCGTTAACAAGTTTTATTCTTATGTTACAATAAGTGACGTAAATCACCACGTGTCAGGTATATGACTCATATGAGGAGAATATTATCATAAATTTACCTTGCAACAACTCCTAGATTATTAAAAAAATATAAAAAAAACTCAAATGCGTTAAAAAAACTCATTTTAACACGGCTATTCGAATTCCCCAACTGGAGACCAATCTCCCACAGATCAAAACCAATATGAAAAACATAAATGATTCCAACAAAAAAATGAAAAAAAAACCTTGAATCCATCGTTTGTATTGGCGGCATAGGATATTTGTGATGTTAAATTTCTATCATCTAAAGATATTGCATTAGCTGGACAAACCATTTAACAAGGCCTTGAGCGGTCAAGAGGACAATCCTCGGGATCAAATTCTGTTAAGAAAACAGATCATAAACTCAGAACTCATTTTTTGTTCAATCTTAGCCTAAGTTGGTTTTGGAAAAAAAACAAGCTTGTTCTAAAGCTTATAACAAAATCCCAAGACATACCAGCCTTGCGAAAATGAAGATCTTCATCATTATTAACACTAATCATGACCCAAGACCTTGGAAGATGAAAAATATATGCGGCTGCTTCAATTCTCTCGTTCACCGCACTCACAACTGAGGCATCAGCAGCACAGTCTATGTAATCCACTGTTTTCAAACTCTCTCACTTACTCTATCTTAAACCCAAAACAAAACAAAAACAAAAAAAAACTTTTGTTTTTCTCTCACCACCGGCAAGAGTGTAAACAAGAGAGAGATTTCTGATAATGTCGAAAACTTATGTTTGGGAAAATGTCCAAAAAAAGAAAGAATTATATATAATTTCAAAAATAGAGAATAATCTGAAAGGTATAAACATAATTGTGTTTTCAATTCTCATTAAATAAGTGACACATGATGATTTTCATCACTCATTGTAACGAAATGATAAAACTTGTTAACGGAATAAAGTTCGGGAGGAATATATGTTACTTTTTAAAATTCAGGAGGTAAAATATTAGAAAGATCATGGGGAATTTTTAAATTAATCCTTAATATAACGCTCTTTTAACATGATTAGCAATATATATATATATATATATATATATATATAATGCTCTTTAACCAGCAAAAAAAAAGTACATGTAAACATGAATGTGCGTTTTTCCTAGCCCAGTCACCGCCGATGATAAATTACGAGTTGAAATAAATTAAAAAAATAACGGCATTTACAAGGTATGTGAATGAATTTCCACAAAAATCGTGTCGAAATTTATTGGACTGGTTATTTTCAAAAGCATGAAACATGATCAACTGACTGGTGGAGTGGTGAGGCAAAGATCTTTTATCCTTTTCATTTATTAAAGAAGGAAAGTGGAAGTTAAACAGGATCAACTGACTGGTGGAGTGGTGGGGCAAAGATCTTTTATCCTTTTCATTTATTAAAGAAGAAGGAAAGTGGAAGTTGGTATTGTTTTTTTGTATTAAAAAATCTTAAAAAGAAGAAGAAGAAACTAGATATTATGAAATTAGATACATGCACCAATAACAAAAATCTGAAAAAGGAAAAAAGAAGGCACAATTTGATTCAAGAAATTGTTCAAATTCATGTTTGGCAAACCAAAATGTTGTACATTACAATTTAGATTTCACTTTTTGTTGATATTTATATTTTAATAATATATTTAAACGTTAGTTTATATTGCAATTCAAATAATATTTTTCAAATTTTACAATTCAAATGAAAAAATTTTAAATCCGCACAATTTGAACTCACAATCCAAACAAACCCAATTATTTCCAGTGATTGGAAATCCGATTTAGATCCTTGCAAAGTTTGAAAAATTTAGATACTTGCAAAGTTTGAAAAATTGGAGAAAAAAAATTTCTACCAAACGTATATATAGCAAGGGAAAAGTTCCATCCCTTTTCCATTTCATTTTCTTCACGTAAGTTATCTATATTTATACATTCTCTTCTTTTCTATTTTTCCTTTTCTCTTACCAATCACAATATTAGAAGTAAAATTACACATTTTATTCAAATCCAAGTAGGCCAAGTTTAAAACTTAACCTAAATTCACACTCGTAGTCATATACATATACATATACATACACATACATACATAAATATATATATATATATATATATATGCCTATATATCAAAACAAAGAAAGATAACAAGTGGATAACCTAAATTCACACTCATAGTCAGACACACACACACACACACACACACACACACATATATATATATATATATATATATGTATGTATACACACGCACACAAACGCGCACACACATATTCAAGCTGGAAAAGCCTCGATGACAGATTGGACAGCAGCGATGGACCTCACGGTGTGTCGGCTAAAACCAGCCTCGCGAATAACATATGCCCATTCATCCAAGGTCCTCTCTTTGCCTTTTGTAGTATGAGCCATCATCACCATATCCAGAACCAACCCCACATCCTTTAGCTTGTTGTCTTCTTTCTGTTGCTCTTTATTACCAATTACAGCTTCTGCTATTATCACCTTCCCTATGTCCTTTGGAATAGCTGCCCTACACTTTTTCAGTATGTGGATACACTCATCGTCGGCCCAGTCATGAAGAACCCACTGTCACATGTCCATAAAAAGAGAAGCAAAAAGGAAAAAAAAAAAAAATAAAACATATTATACTTGGAATACTAAATTAGTAGATAACGTTTAAGGCTCTTGTAGCATATATTCTCAAAAAGAAAAAAAAAGAAAAAAAAAAGAAGAGGCTCGTAATACATTAATATTAGACTAGACACAGTATACTTGATATTGTTTCTAGTTCAATTGTTAAGTGACATTTGGAGTAACACTAAACATTTGACTTTGGTACTGAAAAGTCTGTTTTTTATGCAGGTATTTCAGAGAGTGTTATAATACTTTTTTATAACACTAACGATTGACTATAACGATTATGCTCAGAGACGTTAAAGAAATTAAGCAAAAAATAATGCAGGAAAATTAAATGACACTAGAAAATGATATCGCAGTTTGGTTCAACAACCTACATCTACAAGGCCACACCCAGACAATGAACAATTCACTAAGTTCTAAAGAATTACTGACACCAATCGGACTTATACATTCAAAGACTTCCTCCTTGACGTTGTTGCCGCCGTGTTGAATCTCCTTAATGGCATTGTCCAGCGAGCACCACTCGTCTTCAAAATGCACGACGAAATCCTTTCGGCTGGCAGTGCACTTTCTCCCAAAAACTTCTAATCCTTCTCCCGAAAGACAATCTTCAATCAACACTTAAAGACTCACTCTCACATAGACTTTTTCTAAAGATTTCTTCTATAAAAACTATGCCCCAAATTTATCATTTGATTACCTAATATTTTCTTTTTCAAGGCCACCTATTCACGTACACTACTTATGTATATATAACAAAGTTGCTCATGTGCCTACCTTTGTGAAGTACGTGAAGATCTCACCAATATGATTTGATGTTTGAATCATATATATCTAAAGAAATAAATGCAAGCTTCAATCTCTCCACATGATTAGCTTCACGCAATCAGCTTCTCACGCCAACAAAAGTCTCTAGCTCTCATGCAAGGTAAGTCTCCAATAATCAATTCTCATATACCCAAAATACAATTCACACTCCCACTAATCAGTGCACATTTTTTCAAAAATAATTCATAATCCAAAAATTACAATTAGCCCCATGACTTTCATGTCACTAGAAACAACCCAACATACAATTAATCTAATGTTCTTTCCTCAAATAACTCTCTCAATTATTTTCTAAAATTACCTTGTCAAAATCTAAATTTCATCAACAAAAACATTCCATATTTAGAGCAATCAAGCAACTAAAATCACCTCTGATCTTCTCCATAAACGCCGGTTACCAAAAGTACTTGCCAACTAAAATCCTAACGGCTACCAATTAATTGCATTGTATGTTGGATATGAAGAAAAACAATTTTGACTTTAAGGATGCGCCTTTTAGTTATTTATTTAGTTATACTAATCCACGTTTTTTAGCAGTAAGCTGTGATTTTCTATAAAAAAAAAAAACAGCAGTTGTGACTATAAATAGTTTTGAACTAGCTAGTCATGGATCTTTCTCCATTATTGAATAATTAATCGTCTCAATTATGACTAAAGGTATTAGTAAATTTCTCTTTAAAAAACTTGCAAAACAATTATAATATTTATATTGTAGTTGGTATTAATTAAAATAAAATTTTGTGATACTATCCTTGCCAAGCACCACAAATAATAAAAAATAGTTCTTATTTGTGGACTCTATATTATGAGATTCACTTTTTTATGGCGTTTAACATTAGTATCGTTTCCTCTAGCATTATTGTTTAACATTAGTATCGTTACCTCTAACATTATTCTAAAAGAAGCATATATAGGGATAAAAAGGTAAGGACATGTCAATATGTTTACAAAATATTTACCATCAGAAAAACAGCATCAGCCTTGGGAACGAACTCAAACATGTCACCTCCAACATGCTCAATGCCCTCACACTTTTCTGCAACAGACGCAACATGAGGAAGATCAAAGTTAATGCCCTTACTAATCCAAGGACAACCCTTAACCAACATCCGCAGGGCCGTCCCGTTGCCTCCACCGACGTCGACGAGGGTTCGAACCCCGTCAAACACATCGGAACAACCGTCAATAATTGCCGGCACCGCCACCCTGGCATCACAAGCCATGGCCTCATCGATGAGCCGGGCGTGGCCAGGGTTCGCCTCGGCATATTTCCAGATGTCCTCACCGTGCGCCGCCTCAAACGCCGAGGTACCTCTGGCCATGACACGGGCGCTCAGTCCGTGCCACGGCGCCAGCATCGGCGGGCTGCTCTCCAGCAGAATGAACGCCGCCATGCTGTTCTCTCCGGTTCTCATCAACCGGCGAGAAATAGGTGTTTGTGCGTAATATGCAGTTGGGACGGCGTCGTTTCTGATGAGGATCTCTTTGAATATTGCACGGTTGACCAAAAACCTCATGATCCGGTGAAGGTTTTGAGGATCACAGTCTAGGGCTGATGACAGCTCTAGAAGTGTCATGGGACGTCCATGGGTTGCTATGACGTCAGCTATGCCAAGCTCAATGGCACATTTCACTACCGCCATTTCTACAAACCCGAATATGTATTTCCATATTTCTACTTTTGCACGCTCTTCTTCTTCTATTTCTTCCTCTGGTATTCCCCATTTGATCAACTCATCTCTTTGTATTTCTTCCATCCCTAATTTATGTGTATTTTGAGTGGGTTATGCGTTGTAGGTAGTAGCTATATATAGAATGTAAGGATCAAGGAAGAGAGATTAAAGTAAAGGAAATATTTTTAAGAAAAGGAAATGTTACGTAAGGTTTTGTAATTTTTTTTTATTACAAAAAAGGAAATCTTTAAGAATATGTCGCTTTTGGTTAGATTATCCGTTCACTTTATCGATTTGAGTTTAGAATTTAAATTTTGTTACAATAAAAAATTTTTAAAAACAGTCACATTTAATTTTTTTTGTTATAATAAAAAATTTTCATATAAACTCAAATTATAAATTTAAATCAACCAAGTAAACAGTCACATTTCCTACTTTCCGTATCTCGATGAAATCGTTTTATGGGCCCAATTTTGTTTTTTGTTTTTTTTTTTTTTTTTTTTTGTCTGCACCTTTATTCGTTCAAGTGCGCCAGACGAGTACTACATGCGTCAGTTAGTGGAATCAGCTTGTCTTTTATTTATTTTTATTTTTTCTAGGGAGACCACAAGTTTCACGTCAAATATTTATTATATCATGAGTTTTTAATGAATTTTGTTTTCCAACTTGCTATAATATAGAGGTTGTGTAATTTTGTCATTTAATCCAATTTAACGAATGAAAAAGTGCCCAACTAATCGAATAGGATATTCAGTCAAGTTGTATTAGTTAATTCATCACTTGGATTTTAATATTGAGCTCGTAAAGCTTGGATTTCTGAAAAATAAAAATGGAAGAAAAAAGTATAGAATATTTTCATTTTCATGCCGACAAATGTGCTTAAATCTTGGATAATAACATGTATGTCTTAAGAATGAAAGTAACGTAATAACCTGTGGAGATTTATATTATTTTTGGGGAAATCCTACTGTAATATTGCACGAAAGACATGTAAAATGGTGATATATATGTGTAGAGCAAGAAGAATTGGTGAAATTGTGTGTGTAAAATTAAAATCTTGCTCAATCCAATCCTGTTTTTTCTTTTTCCTCATTAACCTGGTTATGTTTTGCATAGAAAATATATTAAAAAACTTTAGCAACAAAGGAATTTAGAATTTACCAATTCGAGCATGTTGCTTCCTCACACCTCACATTTGCACTTACCGATTAGAGAAATAATAAGAATAATTTTGACAAATACTTATTAAAATGATATCATTAAGAATTTTTAGATCTTATCATTGATCTATTGATTTTGCTCTTTTAGAGTAAATAATTTGACAGATTATAATCGATAATTTAACAAATGCCTCTAGTCATGGGTCTAAAATTTAACAAATTATTATAATTTGATAGATTATTATCAAAGAATAACCTAATTATCAAAAAAAAAATAAAACTCTAGAGAAATGTATTTAAGGATCAAGTTTTGCAATTTTCTCAAATAAAAATCTCAAAAATATAAAAAATTTGAACTTGTAGTTGTAGGGCTTTACCCCTTGGGGAGCCCTTCCAGAAATTCTCAAGGGCCAGGGTCAAGCCCAGGCCCAAGAGGGGGTTTGGAAATAGTTTTCAACCAGCAATAGACGCGCCTCGGTTAGAACCTCACTAGCTGCGTCATTGCCCCAAGCGCAAAGATGCTTTCAAACAAAGACTTGGCCAGTTTTTATATTCGGACACTACTACTTCAAATGATATAGCTTTTCAATGTGGGACAGTTGTAGAGCTTTCCCAATTCCCATGACTATCATATCTTAAAGCTTTTATATCTCAACTTAATTCTTCCAATTAATCCTCCGTCCTTGTTCTTTTTAGCTGAAAATTTTTTCATGTGCTCATTTTAGTACTCATTGATTTGTCAGTTTGTTGTTTAAACACTAGAGCTTGTCTTTGCCTTGAAGATGTTCTTTCCTTCATTAATATTCAAATGAAAATTGAGCTGCTTTCTTCATCTTACACCCTTTCAGTTTCCCAAAACTATAAGCGAACTCAGAAACTCTCGGTGATGGGTACTTCCGAATGATAAGGTTGGCCTTTAATTTGCCATTTAATAAAAATACCAAAGATTATTTTGGCACCTCAGATGATATCAACGCATATATTTATATTTATGCAACAAGTGTCTAAATTATATTTGAGACTGGAGTACTTCTTTTTACCTTTTCTATTTTTTGAAGATTAATTACATACAGAGTGATTGGTGATATCATGAGAATTTGGATTCCAAATTAATTTATAGACTCCTTTGTCTGTATTGTTAGAATTAATTGGTCTCAACACAGTTTAAACAAGAAATAAAACAATAATCTAGTTATAAATATGAATATACCATAAAATTTATTCGGTTTAGGCATACATTTTTATGGGTAAAAGGATTTACCTCCTCTGATAAGTAACGGAAAAGCGTCGCCTACACTCGGCCAGAATCAGTGAGAAGCTACAAAATAAGGAGTGGCAAGAAGTTCACTTAAATTCCTCTCTCTCTCCCTCTCTCCAAAACCGTTAGACCATCACACACAAATTGTCATGACAGCCACCCCAAAGATAAAAGGGTGTCCAGCTCTTATGAAACCAAACAGGCCTATTGGGCCTATTTTAACGACATAAAATTAGAGAGGTATTTAGTCTAATAGGCAGACCAAAATAGTGAGATAGAAGGAGCTAATATGCCTCAAGCTAGTTTATTTAACATACATGCCTTCGTTAATTCATTAACAGTTGTCCATTAGATGCTTTGATTCATAATAGAGAGAATTATTATGATTATGGAAGTCGCTTAAAATTATTCCAACAGTCTCCCACTTGGACGACATAATCATACAATAAACATTCACTCATCACAACATAAGAATAAACCAAGAATCTCACACAATAAACACAAGCCCAAAACAATCATGCATAATTATGTATCAACAGGATACAATCATTATACATAATCAGGCGCTAGAGATTCATCAAAGCATGGTGACAACTTTAACATATCGATCAAAAATAATAACGCATATAATGAGACTAATAACCGGATGTCTCCTTTTCCTATATGTCACTTTACTAACTAAAAAATATGCCAACACAACATCACACGTAAAGTGACAGACCTATGAATACACATGTTTTACTTGAGGCATAAGCAATCCTTATCAATAACAACATGTCACATACAAATAGCAATAAACTCTCACTAACTCAATACAACTACATGCTCTTCACAATCTTGAGTGGGATGCGTGTTCTTAAAACACCTAATAAGTAAGCCCTTAGTGGAACTGCCAACATGTTGTTTATAAGCGTGTTTTCAATCACGAGGCATATTACATCTTTCTCATTCACAAAATAGAACACAATATCAATACACTTAAGCGAGAGATGCTCCTAGTGTTCTAAGAGAAAAAACACTATTGTGGAACTTTTACAATATAGTTTCAGCATGCCTAGAAATGGAGTCAACTACTCCTAATGCTGAAACATGGTTCCACAACCAATCACATAAGATAATCTCTCAACACGCCACATACTCCAGATCACCATCGAGGACGCTACGAGTGTCATTGATACTTTTCAACAAAATAGCTCTTCCTTTTATCATCTATGCAACCTGCATAATCGGCATCATAAGATCCAACTAAAACAAGAGTGTTGGTTTGCCGATACCTATCTATCCGGTACTTCATTCCTAGTTAATTCAGTAATACTAACAACGATCACTCAAGTACCGAATCTGCACGTCAACAATAAACATAATAATAAGACGTGTGCATACTTGAGCATACATCAGACTGCCGAACACAAAAGCATAATGGACAATTTAGTTTGATCTCTCTTATTATTACCATAAGGACATTACACCTTTGAGAGTTTGTCACCTTAACAAGCATTGTCTACTAGGTGAATAAGAATGCATACTAAACCTATTCAAAATAAGAACAATATAGGTTCTCTGAGACAATTAGAAAATACACTTAATTAACCTTGTCACAGAGAATCCGCATGCCTAGAACATAAGAGGCTTTTTTAAGATTCTCAATCCAAAGTGACTAGGCAACATGCTATTCGTCTCAACCAACAGGTAAGAATCTCTAGGCGCAAGCAAGTTGTCATTAATACAAAAAATCAAAAATCTACAACTAATTCCATTGACCTTACACATATGCATTTATCAACAACGTTCTCCATAAAACTAATTTCAGTGACTTTTCTCATCCAAAATTGAGATGCTACTGCCTCGATCTTTTCCATACACTCTCACTCGTCATAAAGTTTCTTAAAAAATATTAGTGGAGCTAGGAAACATATCAACTCTCAAGGCTATGTCAACTTCACCATTAATAGATTCATCATGAGAGATCAATACCATATATAATGACTTGTCCTATTTAGTGTCAAGATAGTGGAGACACGAAGATTGCTCAAGGCTAAAGACAACAAAAGGGGCAACTAATATTAGGCATGTAAAAACAAGATCATGAAATTTACCTTTTACTCAACCTTCTAATGATCCAAGCTAACATAATCATCCATGCTAGAATGATCCAAGCTAACATAATCATTCATGCTAGAGTCCTTTGAGCAAAATAGGACTCCTTCATAGGTAAGGACAATTCATCAGACATCACAACTAAATGCATTAATCCACCACCCGGGTCAAAAGGACCAAGTACGCGCCCGCGACCTGACCCTGCCATATCTTGGCCTCCGGAACTCCGTTTTTGACGCTTTAAAAGGGTTTTCTCAGAATTTCATCATCTTTCGATCCATCGCATCAACATGACTCAAAACACTCAAAACTTCAACGATAATGAAAACCAATTCCGGCCATTTTGGAACTCGATGAATACCAAAAAAATCCTCCGAATCAGTGCATAGAATTCATGAAAAATAACACCCATAAGCTATATTCAAAGTGAGTAACCTCAAAAAACCATTTCTTTGACCTAAAATACGGATTCAAAATTTTGAGTTTTTGTTCCAAAAAAATAGAAAAATCCAAAAATTGTAGCTCTAAACCCAAATAAGTCGGCTCTGATACCATTTGTTAGAATTAAT